TATATACCGTAGATACTTTCAAGCAAACAAACGGACAATGTAAGTAACCAAAAGATCAAACGTATATTATATAAATATAAATATATACATATATAAATATAAATATATACATATATAAATATAAATATATACATATACAAATATAAATATATACATATATAAATATAAATATATATAGATATATATATAAAAGGCATCACTTTTGACAGTGCTGGAAAGATTTAATGCCATCTTCATCAAACAACACACATTTAATGCCAGAAACAAAGTTTAGGACCGACATTTGATATATGATAACATTTATAGATATGATTTTCTCTGCACGGTGTTGAAAACTGCAAAATTAAATAAACATATGATATATCGTATCTATGTTTATAGCTCGTAAACAAACATTTGCAAATACTATAAATTAAATTAATAGTTTCTGTCGAAGTTCTCTCTTGATTTGTTCAGAGAGATTCAGTTTTCAATGAATACATTTTGTACGACAGTAGATATATAATAATAAGATAATACATTGAACGCTTGAACAAAAATCTAGGGAAATATATATCGTAAAGTTGTGGAAGTTAAAACAAGTAGCTAGATAATAATAATCTTAGCGCGAACTGGCAAGTATCAGGTGTGACGAATTTGGAAATTTATGTTGAGAGCTATGGGTTGGCGAAGGCGACAACAATAAACTTTGTGGTCTCTATCAGCAGATATCAAAAACGAAATACCTTCCGATAAGCAAGGGGGCCCACAATTCAAATGGCGACTTAAAATTTCTTTCGATTCCTAAACAGCTGATCGCTCGAAAGAGAGAGAGAGAGAGTAGTTGGAAACCATTGATGCCCTCTTAGATTCAGTTCCGGATCACATCAGTATGCCAATTTTTCCAATTTAATTTAGTTTTATATCAAATTTTGACCAGATATTTCATGGGCTGTATATAGATAATACTAATACTATATAATAACTCTGAAATAGATTTACCCAAGTCAACCAAGAACACCTCAAATCTATTCAGAGACACGAAAATAATGAAGTACAAATTTTACGTTAATAATTTCAAGCAAACAATTGTTATAACCTTCAATAAATAATCATTTAGCATTTTTGATTTTCAAACTTTATTATGGGTGTTCCCCTTCAATGTTTTATTGTTCCACACCTAACCAAATATGCAAAGACTTGGACCTCTTTTTATCGCTAAACCGCTGAATTGGCGCTTTTCCTACAACAGTTAGAGCAGTTGATAAAAGTAATCGAAAGAAAAGTTAGTAGCGAGCAGCTGTTGTTGTTGTTATTGTGTTATACCGATGTGACTAGCAATTACCACAAATAGCTTATCCACACACATACGCTAACAATAACACCTAGGCATACGCATTCAAAATGCAGCAATTATGTAAGCAGCCGCAGCAGCACCAGCAGCTGACTAACTGACAGAGTGACCGACCGAACAACCAACCAAACAAAGAAATACAACAATAAGTGCTACATTTCACAAGCACATTTCACATCGATTAAGAGAAGTAAAAACAAAAAAAAAAAAAAAAAAAACAAAAAACAGCGGAAAAAATAAACTTCGAGGGTTTGCACTACTGGCTCACTGGCGACGTTCATCGAAATGATTAACACGAAAAACACGCGGAGCATAGGACGCCAGCGTCAAGGCGGCGGCGTCAGCGTTGACTGAACTCTCGAATTTTACATTCGCCTTTGACTGCTGCTGCTGCGGCTGCAGCCAGGCAGAGGCAGCTCTGCCCACATACATACGTTGGGTGACCAATTGGCGGTGCTGAAATGGACGCAACTAGTGCTGCTTTTCAACACTGATGATGGTGCCCAATCGATTTGAAGGAAACTATGAAAAAGCCAAACAAAATCCCCACTCACACACACATAGAAAAACGGAAGATCCAAAGCGGACTGCTCCGTTGAATAATCGATAAACGTTTGCGGCGTGCAAATGTGTACAAAGTATCGGAATGTCACGCGCAGGCGAAGGACAACGCAGGCGTAAAAGTGTTGCCAGCCTACACATTCAACAAACAATCACACACACATGCACATACACACACAGGTACGCTGAAGAGAGAACGTGCATGGAAACAGCTGTAGCTAGGAAAAAATTGCAAATGGTTATAAAAAAAATTCAGAACGACGCCGTTGTCAAGCAGAGGGGCCACTCACTCTCACTCTCCCACTCGCACTCGCACTTGATTTAGCTCTTGCTCTCATGCACACGTGCAATGCAAGTTGACAACTCTGGCTTACATTGCCCGCGTGAATGTAAGTGTGTGTCTAGTTGTAAGTGCGACTGTGTGCGTAAGCGTGTATGTGCATCTCGCTAACTGCACTTTGCCACACAATGACTGGGCTGACTGACAGCAACAAATTCGCACCGAATTCGTTTAATTTAATTGAATTCCCTTTGACCGGCCCATTCAAACATTAAATCCAGCGCATCCGCAATATATGGCACAGTGGTAGCAAACACTAGAACATTGAATAACCTTGAACTTTAACCAAATATTCTGAATCACCAATAGCCACTAATATATAAATCATATACATATGAATAACTGCTTTTACTTGTTAATTCAAACTAATTAACAACAGGAACGAACAAATTACTGAAATGGTACCGATTCCGATTTATCAAAGACCAACTTTTTAGGTTTGGCAATAAACAAGTCGAATAACATAACAAAATTGATTCATGTTATTCCCTTTATTCATATTCTATTTCGTTTCATTTCCATTGCAGCGCATTATAATAAAAAAAGGAATTAGTAATATAAGCGTGTGTGTGTTGCTAATTTTTAGTTGTTTCACAATTCATTCTATCCGAATAACACTTGCCACCGTGCACAGTGGTTAACATTAACGCGCAAATACATAATCAATGTTTAGTCAATTTTGACTTGATAATTCATTTCATCTATGTAAAAAAAATCACTTAACAAACAAAAAAAAATGAATGCTCAATTATAAATTTGTTGTATATAATATATATGTATATTAAATAGCACAAACGCATAATCCCGCACGCTCACGAACACTCTTACACACTCACGCACTCACGCACGCTGATTAAGGCACTTGTTCGTGCTCTATGAGCAAAACAAGGATGAGGCGGCGCAGAGGTAAAGGGGTTGCTTGTGTAACGCAATTTTTTCTTTTGCATTGGTAAGTATGTGTGTGTGAGTTTATGCGAGAATATGTTTGTGTGTTTGTATGTCTGTGCGTACTACTTTGAATGTTTTACTCAGTTCGCTCACTGACCACAAAAACAAAAAATAAGTAGAAAAAAAATTCGCTGCTAGAATTGCTTATTATTTATGTACGATATACATGCATACTTTAGTATGTGCATATGTCTGTACATATATAAAATGTATAACTTTTCTTTCGTTTTTGCGCTGCTATCATTTCTTTCTTTTCTTTTCCACATACATATTTCTTCACTGCTTTCTTTCAGCTACTGCTGTTGCGGCCGCCGCCGCCGCCTCACGCACACGGCTACACGTAGCGACACACACTCTCTAACACATGCATATACACGCAAACATACTTGAACGCACACATACTAGCACACACACATACTTATATAAATATATATGTATATGTACACATATATATAAATATATATAATATATATATATATACAGAGAGCGCGACCCGCTGCCGTTGCCTTTTTTTCGTTTCGTTTCGTCTTTCGCTATACACCTTGCTTCCGTATATACTTTTATTCGTTGTGTCGTAGTGAAAAAAAAAAGAATCGCTGTTTGTACAACAGAAATTGTACAAGATTTTCATATGTATGTTAGCGGCACTTTAACACCGATTTTCATCTATTTTTTCAGTTATTTTTTTAATGAATGGCACTTTTCGTTCGGTTTTGCTTCAATTAATTGAGTTTCTTTTTCTTTTTTTATTCGCTTTATTCGCTCTACCTATGCGCTGCTGCTTCTTCACGCGCAACACTTCTCGCTGCTATTGCCATTGGGTTTTGCTTTATTTTCGTACATTTCATTTACGTTTGCTTCGTTTTCGTTCTAATTACTTTCGCTGTTCTCACACACACGTTGGTTGGTAGTTTCATGTTATGTTGTAGTTGTACAACATTTGGACCAGAACTTGAGAGTATTGTATATTATGCGTTTGCTTTTTATCGACTACCTTTTTTTGCCATTTTAATATGGCGGCCGTGTGTGTATTGTGCACAAAACGTCGCTACTGCTGCTACAACAACCACAGCAAGCCAACACTACTTACACTTTCACTAAACGAAAAATAATATGCGCCGCGCGTTCCACGTTCACGTTCGTTCGTGTATGAGAAGCAACTAAACGACGAATGAAGTGCTAAAGCGGACGAATGATAATGAAAAGAACATTGCACGATAATTATTCGATATTGTAGGCGTACTTTTAGCTTCTTTGCTGCTATTCTTTCTGGCTGCCAGCCCGTATGCTTCTTCTTTCCAACTATCGTTTTCCAACACTGGCCATGAAGCAACTGTGCCTTAACGGACGTCGATAGCACTTCTGCTAAGTATGAAGTTACTCTGTTAAACGGCGTCAACAGCACAAAATCTAAGCGCAAAATTCAAATTACACAACAGAAATTGTTAAACGCAATTGGAATAGGTTTTTTTCTTTTCTCCGAAACGAGGAGAAAATGTATGTGGATATTACAATTACACAGTGGTTATGATTACAAGTAGTTAAATAAGTATGTTTTGTATATGGAAATATTTGGCCAACTCGAAATATGGGGCCCGTGTTTTATCGTTAGTATCGTATATAAGTATGTATGTATGCATGTATGTTTTTTTTGTATACGTATATATGTAGGTAACAAATACATTGTACAACATATTGCCCTATAATTCATTTAGTATGCATCGTAAAATCTTCGAAAAATTTAACAGCTATTAAATACAAAACAGAAACGCAAAAAGACATAAAAAATGATAATACACATAAAAAACAATAATAATATTACTATAATAATACAGCATTTGGCTAACATGACATCCCACATAAGACCCAAAAACACCAAATCCTAAAATCCAAAAATTATCCAACTAATCCACTAGTAGGGTATCTGATTCTGATAGTACTGGATCATGTCGTAGGTACGCGTACGTAAGTTCTGGTATGAATTGCGTATAACAGCCAGCATGTGGGCAGCCGCCTCCTTGTTGTTCTTTGTAGCCACGAAACGCTGCTTCAGCAGATTAATCGTCTGGCCGCGAAAGCAGGGTAGTCCAGTGTCGAGCATTAGCGAGACTAGGGATACGATCGCATCCTGATACGGTCGTACGGCCAAGAAGGCTTGCACGCACAGCTCACAGAACCATTTGAAGACCGGTGCCTCCATTTTGCCGCCCATTATCATGACCATCTCGTCGGTTAGCTTCATATCCGGCTCGAAGCCAATGTTGCCGCCCGGCGACGACTCAAACATAAAGCCAAAATCTAGCGCAGAAATGTAAGAGTTTAAGTTGCGAATATATATATAGACACACACATATATATATATAACTATTTGTGTACCTATGTGAATGATGTGACCATCCTTGTCGATCATGATATTGCCATTGTGACGATCCTTGATCTGCAGCAGATAACCAATTAGCGAATAGGCGGCCATTGATTTAACGAAATTGGCTCGCGCTGCCTGAAACTCCTTGGAGCTCTCGTCGCCATACTGATGCTGGAAGTACTCGGATAGGCCGGAGTCTGTTTGCCTGCCAAGCTGATCGCGCGACTTCGCATTGGGCACACACTCAATGACGCCGCACTGCAACAAGATAAATCATTATTATTAATAGCTCTCCAATGCTTGATCTGTTTTGCCAAAACTTACGCCTGGTGCTGTGGCCACAACACGATAGGGGAACAGAAACAGATCCAGGCCCACTTGCTGAAAGATATTCTTGAATATGGTGATCACCTGCAGGGCCAGCATGTCCTGGCGCACATCGTCGCCCACTTTGAAAATGGCCGCCTGCCACGACTCCACGCCGAGCGTCATGTGCGCATCCTCCTGTGAGTTCTGTGCATGCATAAGACAGAGAATCGAAAACCGAATGAGTGTGAGCAGTGAAGACTGAATGAAACCGAGCGAGATAGAGAGATGGTGACTCACCGGGTTATTAGATACCTCCATGGCGCGTGTCTCTAGCTCGGTGATGCCACAGCGATAGACGCGGAAACGTGCCAAATACGGCGCCTTAGCAGCACTCTGCATGGGTGTGCCGCTGCTATACTCAATATCCAGCACCATTGCCTCTGGATTGGATGGCAAATAGCAGCCGGATTGCACCTTGATCCGATTGAGAGCTGCCAAGCATGCGTTCTTGCGTTCACTGCCTTTGGGAAAGGAGCGTATCTCGCCGGAGACGGCCGTGATTTTGCCAAAGAAATCAAATTCACGTTCATAAAAACGTTTCGCGGCACCGGAGAAGGAGCCAATTATGTTCTGCGACAGCAGATCTAATGCCTCATACAAGTTGGGATCGCGATGCAGCTGATCCTCGTCCATGTACATGTTCGTTTGCATATTCCAAATGAGCTGGTGGGCCACAATCTGCGATCGCTTCGATATGTTCTTGATGAACTCAACTACATAGCCCATCGTATCGTGGCGCAGCGCCTGCACCAATTGCGGTATATATGGAAGCACCGATTCGGCTGGATATGAGCTCAACGTCTTGACCGCATATTGAGCAGTTAGCGGATGCGAAGGATACTGCCGTGAGAAGTAGGACAACGCCTGTATGGGCGTCACCGCCGACCAGGACAGTATGTAGACCAGATCGGGACTCTCCTGCAGCAAGTTCTTGGTGGTGCACAAGTACTTCAGGGCCTCGGGTATATGACACACGGCAATCGGGTCTGAGCAGACCAAACGCGACACCTCCTCGTCAATGGTTTCCGCATTCTTGATGCGCTGCGGCAAAAAGACAGCCAGAGCCGGATTATAGCACCACGCCAAGCGCGCATAGTCACGCCACACATTTGGCTTATACGGACGACTGCGCCACTCCGTGATCTGTTCCTCGCCTGCAGAGAGAAGATACAGAAACAGTCGCACATCATTTACGAATATCGTATAAAGCGAGAGGCACATAAAAGATAGAGCGAGGGAGACACAACATGCACAGAATGTAGAGAGCAATATGTGGTTAAGATCATAGAACTTAAAGGTCTCATGGTCTCCCTTACAGATACATAGATAAGCATAGATCAGCATTTACCTGGCACTATCAAATCGGTGAGACTGTTCGGATTGTACCAGGTAATCAGAAACTCCAATTCGACGGCCAGCAGCTCGAGAATTAGATTGCGTTTCTTCATGTAGTCCTTGTCGTATGAGTCCTTTTGATATTGCAGCCGTTTCGAGCGGTTCGAGCGCTTCGACAATGTCGACGTCGAATGCGGTATGGTGTTATACCATCCACCCGTATTCCCTGTGGCGCTCATGGAGCGCGCGTAGTCAGCGCCGCCGCTGATAAGTGATGCGGTCTCCGGATTGTTGCGTACTGCCAGCATCTGCGTTGAGCTGACCGAGGCGCTGGTGATATCATAGTCGCCCACCTCCGAGGTAACCAGGTGCTTCTTCTCGCTGCGCATCGTCTGCCAGAACTTGAGCAATATGAGTATATCCTCCAGCAGCTGCTCTCGGCTCTGGTTCGGGCAGGTGGGCGGGCCACAGAAATAGTCGAGGGCATTGGAGTAGATGCGTTCGCGCAATATGTTGCGCGCCAATGATTTGGGTATCGTGTTGCCCTGGAGCAGGGACAGGCCGCACTGCAGCAGCTTGAAGCGACAGCCAACGGTGGCGACTTGTCGATTCTGTCGGCTGCTCTTCAGGATGGGCAGACAGCGATGCAAGAGCAGGCAGAACATTTCCACCTTGTCGCGATTGCAGTATTTGGCCGTGTCCACCATTTCGGAGAGCAGCTGCAGCCAGATCAGATGCGGCGCTATCAATATAGGCTTGCTGATCAGCTTGCAGCCCTCGTAGGCAGCCAGCGGATGCGTGACTTCCACTTCCCAGGCAAACAGACCCATGCGCTTCTCGAACGTTGTCTGCCACGCGCTCACCATTTCCTGTATGAAGCACAGCTCGAGATCTTGCCGTGCCGTCAGCACCCATTGCCAACACTCGACAGCGGTCTCCATGGCGGACTCTGTGAAGAGCTCTAGCTGCGAGCTGGCCACCGCATGCAACAGCTTGCGGTCGATCTCTGCACAGATGATGAGGTAGGCGGTGGCACGCCACAAGGCGCCGCGGTGCCTTGCGTCGCTCTTCTCGGCACAGGCGCCCCACACGTCGCTGACCAGTCGATCGGCCAGGCCAACCTTGTCCTGCTCACTCAGCACGGACAGCAGGCCGCTTATTTCGCCGGCGTATTTGCTGCGCAAGCAGAGCACGGAGACAAAGCGCGGCGTATCCGAGTTGACGCAACTGGGCCGCTTGCTGAGCGTGCTCAGCGTGTTGCCCGGATGCAGGGTGCTGCTGTTCACCACCGAGTCGAATGCTAGTGCCAGACCACTGTGATGGGCTAGCACGGGCGTGGGTATCTGATTGGGATACTCCTGCAAATGGGAGCGTGTCGAGCGAGGCGCCCATTTCATGGCCTCGTTCACAATGCCCTGACAGCGATCGGCGAAGTCCTTGAGTCGCAGCTCGCGCGCCGGCAGCGAGTCCATCAATTGCAGCGTATACGGAGTCGACACGACACGCAACGTGGGCGTCTCTTCATTGGGATCCAGCGACAGTGAATACGCCAGCAGCTGCAAAATGTCCAGCATGCACCACAACACACGGCGATTCCACAGCAGATGCGGAAAACGATCCACCAGCTGCGACAGATACTGATCCGCCACAAGTTGGATCTGCTTGTGTATATGATTGAAGTAGACCAGCAGCAGCGTGGCCTGCGATTCCAGCACCTTCTCCCTGATCTCGTCGTGGGCATACAGCACATTGCGGAACTTTTCGAACACCTGATCCGCCACACTAGAAATGAGAAATAATTACATCTGTTACGAAGCTTGTGAGACAACAATCAAGACTGCTCTACTCGGGAGTGATACGCTAGCATATACCCTGCCCTTCGCTGCCTTTTCAATCATGCGTTTGTATACAAACTTCTATAATGTGTATGTATATATACAAGACTAAGCTAATGTAATAAGATATTGGAAAAATATTCTTAATTTGCTTTGTAGTTAGCGTGACCACTGGACGGACAGACAGACGGCTTAACATATGTGAATCAGCTCAGCCTATCTATAGAATTTTAGTAACACGTCAAGCCTCCTCCCACTTGAACTGCCTTGAAGGGAACAACAAATTTTAATAGACTATGGTAGGTTACGCATCAGTAAGAAATAAGCAATAAGAACTAAACTTATAGAGAATCCATTGGAATTATAAGAGTTGATTGAATGATAGCTTAACATCCCGTTTTACTCGAAGAAGCATAGCTTTTCAAATAGGAAACTGCGACATTGATTGCTGATTGACCCGATCTGATCCCGTCAGACTCAGTATTGTCTTACCACTTGACGCACTGCCAAATGCCCGTTTTGTCCTTTTGGAGTGCCGTGTCACAGAGGTAGCTCAATATGGGCTCCAGGCTGGGCTCGTCTGCGTTCTCAACGCGCAGCATCTCCAGCCAGTAGACACTGAGCAGGTACGTGCATTGGGCAAAGCTAAGCTTGTTAATGGAAGCGGCCACATTGTCGGAGGAGTTCTCGAGCAGCATCAGGATCTGGCTGCGCAGCTCGTTAACCGAGTCGCTTTTGATGGCCAGCGTATAGTTGAGTTCGCGCATATCCGATTTGTGTGCCGTTTGGGAGATGAGCAGCGGCGATTTGGCAGCTATTTGCTGCACGCCCTGATACCAATCGGCTGGCCAGAGGCGAGCATTTGTGAAGCCCATGACCACACAGTAGGCCCAGAAGTCCCGAAAGAGCTTATGCAGGCGCTGGCGCGGATTCTTAATGGGTGGCAGGCGGCGCATGAGCACAGCGATGACTGGTATAAGCATGCCCAAGTTGCCGGCACGTGAGCTAGCCTTTTGGGCACCCGGTGTATTGTCATACGAGCGCTCGCCATCGAGTCCAATTTGTACAAACAGCTCCAACAGTTTGCCCAACAGCTCAAGCATCTCCGAGTCGCCCTGTATGTTGGCCGCAATGTTGCCAAGCGCATTGACTACAGCATCCGACACATGATGGAACTGCTTCCGATGCTCCGGATCTGAGGTGTATGCCAGCGATGCAGACTGCACCGTGACGCGCGAAAACATCTTCATGATCTCATCGAAAATGTGCGTTTCACACTGCGATATGATCATGCAGCCGAGCTGGTCGACAATCAATGCATTCTGCTCCGACGGCACCTTGCAGAAGCGCTGTATGAAGAACTGCAATATATTCTGGGTTGTCTTCGAGGTGTCCTTCAGCGCCACAGCCACATGGCCCAGCATCACAATAATATTCAGGCTGACTAGAGTCGATTCGCTAAGGAGAAAGACCGATCAGCTTAGGTATGCCCTCTTCGTATAGATATATATATATATATTGTGAAGTTACCTCTCGTGCTTCTCTGCCGTGAAGAGACGATTTGATACGTTTGCCACCAGAGCGGGAACACAGAACTGGTCGAGCGTATGGGCTGCACGTAGAGCAATCGATAGATTCTCAATTGCAGCATCACGCAGTGCCTCGAAGGCCGCATAGCCGCTGCGACCGGTGCCGGGCTGTTTCTGATTATCGCCAAAGATGTCGACAATCGAACGCGAATCCGAGTGCTGTACAACTATTTTGAATGGCGTCAGCTCCTTCTCCTTCTTCTGCAGAGCCATCGTCTGCATGGCATGCGCATGCAGTTTGCCCAATATCGGACTGGGATCGACGAGAAAGTCGCGTAAATACGATATAGATGTGCCGGCAATGTTCGGAAATTTCTGTGCCAGCTTGCCCAAGCCCTCCAAGCAGACCATCAGCAGCGGCATATGATCCATAACGATCTTATGGCTGAGCACCAGATTCAGCTTCTGAGACAAGCGTCCGCACAGCTTGTCCGCCTCTGTGGAGTGTTGTTGAAATGCAAACGATTAGAAAACTATATAAAGAGCAAAGAACAACAGAATGTAGGATATATAAACATAAACAGTGACAAGAGCACCTCAACATTTGGGAAAGTAGAGCAGCAACATGCAATGATCAAATGATCTCTCTGGAATCATCTTGCGATCCCTTTCAAATCGTATGATACTCGTGTGCATGCCGCGATAGCCAACGAGCTCGAACACAAAACTCGATAATCAAAATAATAAAATTAACAATTAATTAAAAAAAAACAAATTAATTAGAACTGTGGAGGGAGCGGGTAGGGAGTGGAGTTGGAGGTGAAAGTGGTGTTGGGAATGCGACAGGAACTGCTCCTGACCTTTCTTCAATAAAAAATGCAAGCCATTTTGCAAGGACGGCACGTTATAGTCGACGTCAACTGTAAAAATATTCCGTATCGGAACTCAAAAGAAAGCAACCAAAGAAATCAAATTTATCCTCGGCACACCGAAGCCACATATATACCCTTACAGTGTGATAATATAAATAATACAAATCATAATTCATAATCATAAATCATAATTGAAATAAACAATTTTTCCAGATTTGTCTTCTCCGATGCAGCATAGCTTCGATCACAAACCAATAAATACAGTCAGAGGCATCTAAACTGATCTATATTATATCATATATATATCCATAATAATATCGTATCGCCTTGTTCACATCTTGGGCCAACCCTTTGAATGAGCTCGGCTAACAAAGCAACGTCTACAATAGATTACAGCCTATTTGTCTATTTAAGGGCTTAGATCTTGATATTGCTTCAAACTGAACCTTGTCTGAGACCTAAGTATTGGTACCAGATATATAGAATTATATATATCCATGTTTGTCAGTCTCTTGTCGGGTTTTCTGTCATAGAGAATTGTTGCTCTGCTTTGAGTTCTGTGCAAATTTAGGATGTTCAAGTTGGCTCTAAACGCAAATCGAATGCAGACAAACCGCACACAAATATACTTTTATCACCTGTCCAAGTATTAAATAATAGAAATCGCAGTTGACATGAAGACGCCTGCGTTGAGTTAGTTCACATACCCGTCTCGTCGCGTATGGCCCAGACGAGCAGGTCCACACAGGCTGCATTGGCCATCACATTGATCTTGTACTTGTTGACGACAGCAATGCCGTTCTCTTCGCGACGTTCGCGCTCCTGGTCCTGCTGTTTGTTTTGCAGCTCCGTTTGGCCGTTCAGAAAGAGACGCTTGACAAACTCCTGAACATCCTTGGTGAAGGGTGTAGGCAGATCGATCTGATGCTGCAGCAGCTCCCGCAACAGTGTGACCAACACCAGATTCAGCATCTCCGAGAAGCTCTTGTAGCAATTGCCATTTTTCAAATGCATCGAGAATATATCGCTGCCCAGCTCATCCAAATACTCTAGCGTGTCTTTGGTTAGCAGCTTCTTGGAGACCGCAAAGATGGTCTGCAGATGCTGTATGGGAAATGGCGGCACACGGTACAGCTGCTTCGGACCAGTTTTGCCAGGCGATTCGCACAGGTTGACACGCATGTGCGGAAACTGATTAAAGCTGGAGCCATAGCGTGTAAAGAAGTGGGTGCGCGGATCGTAGGGTACCGAGAAGTAGCTTTGCAGTGATGGCTTTTGCTTGCTGACCGCTGAACGCATACGACTTTCATCAGCCTGGATGCTACTGTGGGCCAGGCTGCCCGACATTGAACGGGGTATGATTGGTCGAAATTGCGTGGTCGCCAGTCGTTCGCTGCTGCTGAATGAGCCACCGGCGCCACAGTGGCCATTGCCGCCGGCGCTGGCGCGCTGTATGGGCAGCTGTTCGGGCGGAAATATGCGACACAACAACGGTGGATTGTTGCTGGCATAGCGACCCATCGATCGAGCCAAACCAAAGAGCAGCGGCACCGTCGCATTGCACAGAACTATAGGCGATGGTGTGGAGTTGCTCGTATCCTTGCTGGGCTTCACAATATTAGCAAGCGTGCCCAGCGTTTCCACCTGGTTGAGAATGATCTCCTCTCGCAAATCCGGACACTTGGCGGCTATGTCCGAGAGCATCGTGTTCAAGCAGAAACTAAATTTCTCTGCTGCGGGTATGCGTACACCTGCATACGTCCAATGGACACCAGTTGATTAGATTTTATTTAGAGAATATTGGTTTATGGTTTGCACTTACGCTCGACTTTGCTATTACGCTCATCGTGTATTCGTGCCTTGGGCAGGCTCTTGGCCAAACGCAGCAGATAGGGCACTATCTGTGACTCATGCTGGCAGCCGCCTTCCAGGAAGTAAATGCCCAATGCGATGACCGCATCTTGCGCTCTGGAGTCCAAGCAAAAGACGCCTGATGCATTCTCCTGCGGACAGTAGCGGAACAATGTCTGCACCTGTGACGACAGTATGCAATATGCAATATTACAGATAAGCAGGGGCAGGCAGTCAATAATAACAGTTAAAAACATCCTCTTCTCCCCCCTCAGAGACCTTTTTCTAAGGCAACGTCATCACTATACGCATGTCTGTTGCGCCCAAGGTCAACTTTAGTTGCGCGAAAATTCGATTTTCAATTTGCGGCCTGTCCCCCACCCTTCGCATTCCATCAAACAAACACTGTCAACATCAACCAACCAAGCATAACACACCCCTGTCTACACCGACCTTGTCCCAAGGGGTGGGCCGTATGCCAGCCAGCACGCGCGCTAAGCAGAGCACAGTCCGCTGATACGTATACTTGTCCGAGGCGGTCATCTTTACGCCTCTGTCAAATGTGGGATGGCCTCCGACTCGGCGACTGCAAAACGTCGACGTGACGGTCTATGGTGACGGCAACCGCGACTTTGAGTCGCCTGGTGGCTCAAATGCACGTAATCGGCAATGGATGCAAGCGCACGCACTGTATCTACACTTTATTTCGTTAATGATGAATTTAATTTGTTTAAATATTTCTCATTAAACGTTCGTCATCGTCAATCGTTCGAAACTTTTATTGTTTTGCTATCGAAAGTATCGAGTACTACATGCAGCTATCGAAAGTATCAACTGCTAGAGTTGTTGCCAATGAGTAGTTTATGTAAAAGCTAAATAGTCGACTTAACAGACAACAGATGAGTTAACAGCGACTTCTGCTCCACCGCTGAGGAAATACTCCACAAAAACAATCAAACACAAAAAATCATTCATTTTTATTCGAACGATTTATATGAATAGCAATATTAATAATATAAAGCATAGTAATGAATTATTGCAACTTTGTTGCCTATTCAATTATGCTTATGTATTTTGAAATGGGCTCGATAACATCAATAGCTTAACGAACCATCACAAATGTTCTGCAATGCCTTTATTACAAAATGTGCAATTTAAGATTTTATTTTTATTGCATTAATTTTGGATATTCACAAGCTGTATAAATTTAACTGAAAAGATTTTACGAAGATCTGAATGGAATCTTCAGCTCTTTTTCTAGGGTCTGCTTAGTTAACCGTCGTTTATTTCGATACTTACCGATAACACAGAATCCTGACATCGACGAATGGAAATAGAGAATTAGTTATCATTGTGGCAAATAAAACAACGAATTCAAAGTACATTTAATTTATTTATAACTTCTCACATTTTTCTTTTACTTATTTTTGGGAAAAGCTCCACTCTAAGTTTGTTGTGCTCTGCCCATAAGCAGACAGACGAAATAAACATTGATCTTTCTATTAACGGAAGAAAATAATATGCCCATTTAATTTATCGTATAATTGATAATTGAATGGTTTCGCACGCGTCCGAGAATCTTCAACAAACGAAGACAATTATACGGAGCGGCACAAAGTTGGAGCTTCTTTTTAAGAGTATGTTGTGGAGCAGTGGCAGTTCGAATCGAAAAATAATAGATTTAGTGAATTAAAATAAAAACCAATTTGCTAACTTTTACCATCATTTGAAATTTGATCAGCACGGTCCCTAGCTGTCACTTCGATGTACTTTGTGAGCTAAACACTAACAATCTCTACATTGTCAATTGCAATTGACCGACAAAAAAAGTATTAACCGTAATATTAGACTGCGAGCATATTTTGGATGTTCTATGAATGTATGCGCGTGGGTGTGTGGGTGTGTGTTTGTGTGTAGATGCAGCTTAACAGGCTGTGCAGTCTTTAGTCGTCGCCCGCTGAACGTTTCACCTTGCGCTGTTTGGGGCTCTGTTGGTTTGCCTTGGGACTGGCCTGTTTACCTGGCTTGGGCGATGTCTTTGGCGTTTTCGACTTGGGTGGCGATTTCTCTGTGTGAGGCATAACCGAATGATAATAAGTGACAAATCGTAAATAATATATAGATAGAGCACTTACGCAGCGCACGGAGTGTTTCCTGCGGCACCCAGTCGTAATCGATGTTGCTGTCGTTGGCAGTGCCGGTCTCAATGACCTTCTTAGCAGCGGCACGCTTGCGCTTGCCAGAGCTGCCCAACAAGTACTGCTGTCCGATAACCAGCAGCAGGACAACGATGCCAGCAAGCAACACATACAGGAAGAAAGTTTCGCCATCCAAGCCCTCATCGACTTCCGAGATTAGCACCGTCTCATTGAAGACAGCCTCGTTGTACTGGATACCGTTGGCATCGCGATAAGCCAAAGCAATGTTTAGACCAAAGGGACGACCAGCAAACTGATCAGATGGCATGAATGTGTAGGAGACTGTTGATTCAAGGCCCGGCTTCACCTCACGGTTGTACGCTACCGCGGAGAAGTTCTGGATGAAGTAGTTGAAGTCCATGGGATAGCGGAAGGATGCCTCCACCGATTCAATGACAAACTCCTCCTGGCCCTTGTTGGTGAAACCAATCAGAAACTCAACGGGCTTGCCACCGGGCAGATCCAGCTGCTGGCCAGCTGTATGCAGGGGCTTTGTAAACAATAGATAGGTGTCTGCATTGGGAGAGGTGCTGCTACTGCCGCTGTCCGAGTCATCATCCGCTTCAGCATCTTCGCCTGTCACAGCGCCCTCCTCGCTATCCACATCAACTAGATCATCTTCAACAGCCTCGGCAGCATAAGCACCAAATTTGTTTGCTGCAACAACAACAATGCAATATACAAGCACACATGAATGAGAGTAAGATCGAGCCAAGCAAATGTTGCCAACTCAACACTTTTCTCTCGCTCGTAACAGCAGTAGCGGTGGCGGCTAACAAAATGCGATGTTCAGTATGAAAGTGGAAGCATGCAACTTTCATATAAAGTGCATATAAAGGGCTTTGCTCATTCCTCCATGCAGTCACCTTATCAATTTGTCGTGGCCAAATGCCACGTAGTTGCCGCCGCCACCGCCGCCGTTGTTGTTGCGACTGTCGGCAAAGTCAACAATTGCAGAGCTTCTATTAAATGCAATACTTACGCGCACTGAACGTGCAAATAATGGTGGGTAATACCAGCAGCAGAAAGAACATAAGGTTCTTCATTTCGATTGGATTTTGTGTCTTTCACTTATGGGTTTCGAGTGTACAAAAAAAATAAAGACAGCCGTGAAATCGCACCGTTGAGCAACTAACAGCCGACGCGTATGAGCGAAACTAACCGAATGGGGGACCAGCAACAATGCGTGGAGCCGAAGTAACACGATTTGTGCCGACTTTCACTTGTCAAATGTCTACGTGGTGCCGCGTCAAATGACAGCTCAGGGTTGCCAGGCATTGTCATAAAATATTGGCAAACATGGAATTTGCTTGGTTAAATGCTTTTAGATTATTATTTATTAATGAAACGTGTGCTCTCAAATTAAAATAAATGATTCTGTTTAGCTATTTTTTTTCATCTTTTATCTGAAAACTTTTCTTTATATTGTAGCTTGTCAATACTGTGTTTAGTGGCAGTGCTATTAAAAATGCAATCTGTCAAATATCCAATTTGAGTATTTATTAATTTTTTAAGATAAATGTGTAGTTTATACGAATTGCCTTGTTGGAACTAAATATTTATTTACAGTATAAATAACCCAATAAGGCGCAGAATGCGAATATACACAATTTGACACTTGTGCAATGCCAGTCTACAGCACTATTTGTCAAAGCAACGCTGTGTTGTAGCGCAGCTACCTTTACGTTGTCAAAACAAGAAGCAACCGACTTCCTTTTTGCTTGCGTCTGTCAATTGAAGCGCAACTCGCACGTGAATTCTCTCAAGAAACTCACTGAAATTACACAAAAAACATGGACAAACCAGTTGTTTGGGCTCGCGTCATGAAAGTTCTTGGCCGTACCGGCTCCCAGGGCCAGTGTACCCAAGTCAAAGTGGAGTTCCTCGGAGAACAGAACCGTCAAATCATCCGCAACGTGAAGGGACCCGTCCGTGAGGGTGATATTCTGACGCTGCTCGAATCTGAACGTGAAGCTAGACGTCTACGCTAGGAGTGCAACTCGCTTGGGATTTGTTTGGAATGTAAGTAAAACGAACTTCTCAATAAAGCACTTAATTTCTAAATAAATCTATATTTCATTCTCGTTTTAGGTGTTGTTTTGCATTTGGCAATTTCTTGGAAAATTATGATATAAAAACCATAAACAACATACAGACAGAATCACACAACACCAAATTAAAAATGTTTTAAATAAATGCCAAGTTTTGCAGTGCTTAAAAACAACAATTCAATGCTGTATTGTTTATATTTTTTTTGTTTTTGTTTTGTGATCTTGTGACAATTATCGATCAGCCCTTGATCAAGCAACATTAGCTGGAAATGCCACAAGGAACGGGAAACCACAGCGAAAATTTGCAGATAAACTTATTTATTGAAGACCTATTATAACAAATTATAACAATTGGACGTTTTTGTTTTGTTTAAATTAATCGTGTAGTGTCTGCTCATAACAGTAGTTGGATTATGTCCTTCAATTAGCCAAAGTCAAAGGCAATAGTTCAGACCGTCGATCGGCTTGGGCTAGGCCCATGCAAATGCTAGCCTTGTAGTGCGCTTTCAGCTCTAAATCATGTTTAAACTGTTTGATTACTGAGCTCTCCACTAGCGAAGGCAGAAGAGCACGCGAATCCAGCTCCAAAAACTTGACCTGAGTTTGCACTATTCTCAATGTTTGAGCTAGCCATGCGTTCCATTTAGTTAGTGGACAGCAACGTAGCTCGTTCTCCTGGCTAAGCTCAGCTTTTAGGGCCTGGCAGTCCCGTTCAAAGTCTGCCACATGAGTGGAAATCTCGACAACTGTTTCCTGTAGTTGATTTCTGAAAATATATGTTCTACAAGTTTGTCATTTCCTTGGAATTAATAATAGTTCAGAACTAACATGAAGTGGTAGATGGGTTGATATGCGTCATGGCAAGCTGAGAGTAGCGTGGCGGCAGCAGCTTCGTTGGTGCTACGGAAATTTCATGTCAATTAGTACGCAAAGGTACACAAGCGGTATCTTTACCCAGCGACCAAACGTTGTCGTTGACTCAGCTCCCAAATGCGATCTGCTTGGGCAATTAGCTGTGGTGCTTGGGAGCACAATGTGGTGTAATAATTACGAATAAGAGCTGTTGCGCTCTGCAATGAATCGCCTAACTGCGTTTTATAATATTTATACCGCTGGGGCTCTAGTGGCATGTTTACTTGTTAGTTTTGACCAATTTCGCGTGGTTTCGCAAAAGTTTTCTGGCAACGCTACATCGAAAGAGCTGCCATTTTGTTAGTTATCGATAGTTTTGGCATCGTTTTGTTTTGAATATTTCTCGCCGAATATTACTCTTGATTTCGTAGTGAGATTTAGCTTATGTCAATGAGAGTGATGAGAAAGTATTTTTGCATTTATAAAATAATTATAAATAGCTGTTGCTATGATCATACTAGTAAACTATGCAGTTGATATATTTATTTTGCTGGTGTATTGAAAATTTAAATCATCATTGTTGACCCATTCGATATATCGATAACAGTTACTTATCGCAACTCAACCCTAAAATCCAGCAAGCAGCTGATACGCATCAAAATAAGTACAGATTTGTAGAAGCCATTTAAATAAAATTGTTTTAAGATAATAATTTCTGGCAAATTTAGAGCTTTATAATGACTACAGCAGCGCGTCCAACATTTGATCCTGCGCGAGGTGGTTCTGGACGTGGTGAAAAAGATTTAAGCGCACTCAGCAAACAGTATTCGAGTCGCGATTTGCCCGGACATACCAAACTTAAATACAGGTACGCACGTACATAAATATAAACGTTTATCGTATGTATGAACAGATGTAGCATTTATTAAACGGTATCTCAACACTTGTAGGGAAACTGGCCAAGGAACCAGTGAGGAGACCCGCAATCGCGACTTTCGCAAAGAGCTCGAGGAACGGGAGCGCGACTTACGCTCTGGCAACAGTTCGGGCAAGGCGCTGCCATCCATCGTGCGCAAGGCCATTGAGGCAAACAATGCGAGTGGGAGCAGCGCAAACAAACGTACCAAATTGGATAGCCTGTCGCAACAGCAGCTACAGCAACAACAACATGCAGCTAATCTCGATGCCGATGAGCCGCTGGACAACGACAGTTCAGATTCGGATAGCGATTCGGACAATGATGATGCTGCCCTGCTAGCCGAGTTGCAGAAAATCAAACAGGAACGCTTACAAGAGACGGCACGCCGTGACGCCGAAAAGAAGCAAGAGGACGAGCGTATACGCATGGAAAACATTCTATCGGGCAATCCACTAATTAACTATGAGCCTGGTACAGCGGCATCAGCTGCTGGTCGCACCTCTGGCAATGGCGGGGATCTGAAAATAAAGCGTCGTTGGGACGACGACGTTGTGTTTAAGAACTGTGCTCGCTCGGCTCCCGAGAAGAAAACTCACTTTGTCAACGACGCCCTGCGTTCGGACTTCCACAAAAAGTTTATGGACAAGTATATTAAGTAGATAAGTTATCGGATTAAGATATATGTAAGCAGTTGAGCTCGACTGCACAGAAAGCATATTTGTAATAGTTTTTTACAGCCCAACTTTTTTTTTGTTCGCTTCAAATTAATAAATTAAACCAAACAACTGGAACAGCACTTGTTAACATTGACAGCGCATGGATCGCTGCTGGTTTGACCCATTGTCCATTGCATGTACGCGCCAACCTCCTGAGTGCGAAGGGCATGGAACCTTAACCAAAGTGTGAAACCGCAAAAAACATCAGTAGCAGCAGCAACAGCAGCAGCAGTATTAGCATTAAAATGGCAAAGCCTAAAGAAGTTTCGATGCGAAACCTGAGGCATTGGGGCTACGTGTGCATGTGAAGCAGCAGCAATGGCAGCGACAGCGACAGCGGCAGCATGATGAACTTGCCAGGGCCAGGGCAATTGTCGCTGCTGATGAGGCACGAAGCAAAATCAATTTGGCAAAGGAGCAAGCAGAAAGCGCATAATAACTTGGCCAATTACGCGGCAGATCGGATTGCCAACGTCGGCCAGCAAACATGTTGATGGCCATGCAAATCATCAGCTGCTGCAACGCCTCTTAATGCAACGCACGCGGCCAGTGCGATCTGAACTTCGCCTTTGACAAACCAGCGCACGTTCCCGTGCTCGGGTCCAGGACCGTGCAGGCCCGGGCCATCACCTTCACCATCTGAGCGCGACCCGTGGACTACCCAAAGTTGCCGAACGCTCAATTTTACGCTAATTCGATCAAAATCAAACAAAATTAGCCCAGCCAATTCAGCAATGATCATCATGATGACACTGTCGAACAAATTCAAGTCGCATCTCAGTAGATGCAGGTGGGGGAAAAAAATAATAGCACCACTAAAAAAATTAAATTAATATAGTTTTCTAAATCATACAATTGAAAACTTTATAACTTTTTAAGCATATGCATAACTTTCTTAATATTTATATCTATATATATTAGCCTCGTTCAGTAAGCGTGGTGCTATTTTTTTTTTTCGCAGCTGTTACCCCAAGCCAAATAGCAGTAGTATAGTATATACATACACATGTACACCCATATGTACATATACACGCATGCATATATAAATATAAATGCTGTATGTATGATCACATTAAAGTATGTGTATATACGAATAACTGTATACATACATACTCTAATGTGATCATACATCATATGCACCTACAATGTCTTTAAGATTTACATATGATATCACATTTTGTTGACTACTGTAATCATTATGACTTTGAGTCATGTTCATCACATCATCATTATCATTGTCCAGCAGCAACAATAGCAGCAGGAGCTGAGGAAAATGTTGCTGATTGTTGTTATTACGCTGGCTGCTTCTGTCTTTTGCTTTGGCTTAGGGTCAGGTCTATAGATATGATGGGTTGGGTTGGTTGGGGAGGGGGACTCCAGTTGAGATACATACAAACATACATACGTATATCCAGAGCAAGCAGAATAATTTATTTCCTGTTTTGCATTATGTTTTCCCATTATTTGTTCCATCCATCAGACGGAGGCAATCTGCAAATGCACTTTTCGGTAGTCGCTGCGCGCTAAATTATGTCCATTCCGCCCGCTGCCATGGCCAATCAATTGCCACACATTTTACAACTGTGTGTAACTAGCAAACGAACAGCAGCAACAACAACAAGTAAAAAAAAATGGCGACTGGCCAACGGAAATGGGCCTCGTGGTCGCAAGTGACAAACATGCAGCGGTTAAAGAGGCCAGCGCACGGCTGACCACCAAATAAAGACCACGAACATATGTTTCTGGCTTTATGAAGCATTCGAAAAGGGCACCACCCAACCACTCAACCACCCAAGCTTGCAGCCATGCAGCAACTGAAGATTAACATTTGCTCGCTCTGCAGCGTATGGAAAAACTTCAATTGTCCACTTTAGCCAGACTTTAGCTCAAGGCCTTTCTGGTGCTGCAATGTTTCGTAGTTGTAATTAAATAATTTTGAATTTCAATAAAATTGTGTTGAACGTTTTTTAATAATCCTTATTACAATAAAATACACTGAAAATTACCAAAGCGGCGTCAAAGAGTTTTCTTGTCTTGGATCTAACTATCTCCATATGCCAGTCTGTTCGTTCGCTAACTCGTAAACTACAATGGCAAAACGGTTTCAATTTTCACTATCTATTCTAGTCTATCGTATAAAAATTCGATAAAAATGTATCTTACGGATTGTATTTTAAGTCATAACTTGAAGATTATAAATGCGAAAGATTTCAAAACTTGATTTTAAATACATCCCACATGTATATAAAGATGTTCTTAATATACTTCATATGCTAAACTTCCTACCTTAACATCTTTGCAAATAGTTTCTATAACAACAATGTTGACGTTATTTAAAGAGCTTGTAATGTAATAATGGCTTCTTGTGATATATGTATAGCTATTGACTGTATAATAAGATATATATTTGAGCAGATTCAAATATTTTTTCGTTTTTCAACAAATGCAAGTAAAAAAAATTCTTAAATAATTTTAAAATACTAAGAATTTTATGCATTTAGGTCAGGTCCTTGTTAAAGGTGTCTGGTGTTAAAAAGTGGGATATTTGATAGACATCAAAATAAGTTAACAGGCATAAACGTTAACCAACGTCACACACACACATGCACGGGGGTTGATACTTTAAAATTTTATAAAATGCAAATTTCACTCAGCTGTTGCTGTTGCTGATGCTGCTGCTGCTATTGCTGTGCACTTTATAGATGTGAGCGAGTGGCTAGGCGAGGGGCGTGGCAGTTGACTGGGGGGCGGTGTTGTTAAACTGACAGCTTGACTACTGGTGCAACTGATGTTGCATAATTTAGTTGACCAATTTACACTGGAAACCGTTTGCCGCTGAGTGCAACCGGAAACACATGCAGCGCTGTCCGCCCGAACGGCTTGTGGAAGACAATGCCCCCACTCTGCCCCCGCCAGAGCTTCACTCACGCTTTTTTTTTCCCTTATGTCCACTGTTGTTGGCTACTGTGGGCAATATTATCAAAAATGGGTATAACGAATTTGGGTAGAGCATGCAACAAACAAGCAAACTTTTATCGAACTATCCATCTAACTGTATATCTGTCTGTATCTCTGTTAGCCAGCTCAACACTCAACTGGAAAGTCAAAAGTCTATGAAGAGTTCTCTTGTCTTGAGCGTACTTCTGGTACAGCTAGGAGGTATTTGTCATATAACTCTCATACTCATATCTCAGGCATTATTAGAGTTTGATTTGTTGTTCAATAACTGTTTTTGTATACTCTGTAAAGTATTATATGTGGAGTATATTGGTTTTCTGCTAGATTATTCTACAGGCTTCTCTTTATGCTCACTAGTTTGAACTTAGAATTATATAAATATTTGGCATTTTTTTTTGGTCTAGTCGGGAGTGCCTGACTAGAAGACACCGGGACAATTTTTGAAATTTTAAGATTCATCTGCTTGAATCTATTCAGTTACTCTAGTTGGTAGGGCCTAGGATGTAAAGTACGATTTTACTTTTCATCGAAAAAGCTATAGATTATTTGAAACAAACTTGATTTGATTGTGCTCTAGGAAGCCTTTGATATGTGACAAATCTTAAGTCTCTCGACGTAAGGTCTGAAAGGTCTGTGTGGTCTGTCATGCTAACATATAGTAAAATATTATTTGGCCTGCATACAAGTTTTAGAGGCACTTATATTCCGATATAAATACATTTATGTTACACTCTAAACAGAGTATCGGGTAGTCTATAATATCTCGCCTTGTTTATGTACTTTCATAGAGTTTAGGACTAGAAAGTGTATATATGTTATATTCCTATATTCTAGATATATATAATATATATAGATATATATAATATATATCTATAGAGTATCACGTGATGTAAAATATATTGCTAAAATTCTTGACGTCCTTATGCTATAGCTATTTCACAGGGTGTTGGCTAACCAAACCAGTTCGTCTGCCAGACTGTGATTTGCCTTTTGTTGTAGCTTCTGTTGCTGTTGCTGTTGTTGCTGGTGCTGGTGCTGCTGGTGCTGGTGCTGCTGTTGTTTTTGGGGTCACCTGCAGTTGACATATTTACTCGTTATGGCCATTTGTAAATCGTCTCCACTGATGGCAGACGCGCAGCGGGAAGCTCTTCTTCTGCTTTAAACGAGCTGATGATGTTGATGAGCCGGGAAAGGGAGGCCGAACGAGGACTGAGGAAGGCTGCTGGGCAAGGATGACCAATCATGTGGAATTAGAAAGTTGAATATGAAAATTATATAGGACATAAGATACAAAATTGAATGTATTTGGATGACTATATTGATATTTTAGATAAATATATGTGCATACATAAGGCATTGACTATAGTCTATCGTATTTAACTGAGATGTATCATACAAGATATATTTATATAACATATAGTACATATAATATATGGTGGGTATATTGTATAAATATATAATATATAGTATAAAGTATAATTTGTGTGATCCTCGAGTTGTATCTGTACATAAAATTGGAATGATTTGTAGAGCAGATCAAAGTTAACTAATTTTTTAATTTTGATCTTTCCTTGTCTATACTTTATATCGAAGAGCTAACTACAGCAACCGATATACTCATTTCACTTCGTGAGCAGGTAGAAATAGTTTCCGTCCCTGAGTCTGTACATGGATTAGCTACTTTCCTAGCTCTAAGAGAAACTATATTATATGAAGAGAATAACTTGGAGAAAAGATAATATTAAGATATAATATATATAATATATTATATAATAATATATCATTTAAATGTAGTTAGAGTCGGGAAGTCGGAAGGGTGGAGGATGACTGGGGCGGGGCGGAGCAGAGGTTGCGTAAGAGTAGTCAATCCTGTGCCGAGCCTATATAAATAAATCAAAAATTATTTTATTGCGCGGTTGTAAGCATGAAATGAATCAAGTTGATGTACCAAAATAGAGCTTTCTTTGTAGTAGAAATTAGCAACTGCTCTTTATCGGAGCAAACACACACATACGCACACCTGCACACACACACTCACTCACACGCACATAACGCTTTGCCCGCATATGACATGTGCTTCGAGATGACGTTGCGGCGATGCCCGAACGTGG